AGCCGTAACTCCAGATCCATTTTATTTTTTACTTGTTAACTGGAGATAAGTCTCATGGACTTTCCTGCCTCAGTTGGCTTTGAACCGCGATCCTTACACTGCCTCCTGAGTAGCTAGGATCACAGGCATGAAGCTGAGTATACAATGGGTTACAGAGAACTTTTTTTGTCTGTCATGGGGCTTGAACTCTCGGCCTGAATACTGTCCCTCAGATCTTCAGCTCAAGGCCACTGTGCCACTTCCTGTTTTCTGAGTGGTGTTTTTGGAGATAAGAGTCTCATGGACTTTTGTGACCGGGTTGGCTTTGAACCGTGATCCTCAGCTCTTAGCCTCCTGATTAGCTAGGATTACAGGAGTGAGCCACCAGTGCCCAGCTCAAAGAACTCTTAAGTCCTTTACTTCATAACTCCTCTGCAGACCCCACTCCTAAGCCTATACTAGTTTCATTAGCTAAATGTCATCCTTAAGAGATCTAATGTCCACTTAGGTGCTATTTCCACAACCCATCAGTCACCAGTAGTTTGGTCTTCACTGTGCATATGTGGAAGTTCCCTGGTTGCCAAGGACCTTCAGCTGCTGTGGCATACAATGCCCTGACTCTGACTCTCCAGAAGGAGCCTCTTGAAGTATATCATGGAGAAGCCAGCTATACCACAAAATACAGCAAGTAAAATAATATTCCAAACATTTTTTTTAATCCCTGGGATCAAGATGTTTGAAATTCATCTGCTAAGCACACACTCGAGTCTATTGTCCTATACATGGTTATCCATCTAAGGAAACAAAGATCTCTAAGTTCACCTTAGGCTCATTACTGACACCTTCTCCACACATAAAAATGGATTTCCCTATTCCTAGTACAAATGTATCCCAGTCTTATTTTGGGTCAGGCGGGGGGTACCAGGGATTGAATTCAGGGTCTTGACCTGCTTGTTCACTTAGCTGGCATTCTACCACTTGTACTATATCTCCAGACCTGCTTTTTGTTGGTTATTTTGGAGATGAAGTCTTACAGATTTCTGTGCCTGAACTGGGTGCAAACTACAATCTTCTAGTTCTCATCCTCTGGAGAGCACCAGATTGGACTTGGATCTTGGGCTTATTCCTACTTTCCAGTTCTGTATTCTCGGATTTCCTGGTTAGTCTAATGCTTGGATAAAGCATGAAAACTGTAAAGACCTTCAACTCTTAAGCCTAGGGATTAATCCAGGCTAAACAGTCCTTCTCTATTTCTAGGTTGCTGGTTTCCTTGGATCATAACCTATCTATGAATCACATATTGCTGTCCTTGGGACTCTGTCTACCATTGGTAATTCTGGTGGGTATTCTGGGTACTGTGGTCTATCAGAAACGAGCTGCTCTTCAGGTGGGACCATTTGCCCCTTGCCATCACCAAACAAACATGGACTGAGGAGTCCAACTAGAATAATAAAAGAATTTCAGTGCTAAATGTACACATTACCTTATGAAACTGTAACCCTTCTGTATATCAACTTTACAATTAAAAAAAATTGCAGTGTTATCCAGAACATGAAGATTGAGAATGATTTTTTTTTTTTCCCCATTGGTTGTAGGGCTTGAATTTACAGCCTGAGCTTTCACTCAAAGCTAGCGCTCTACCACTTTAAGCCAGAATGGTTATTTGGAGATAAAGAGTCTCATGGACTTTTTTGCCCAGGCAGGCTTTGCACGGTGATCCTCAGATCTCAGCCTCCTGATTAGCTAGGATTATAGGTGTGAGCCACCAGTGCCTGAGAATTATTTTTTTTCAGTTTATTGACATACTTTATAAAATAATATGGTAGATTTTCATTCAAATATTGTCATATAAAATTTCCCAGTACACAGTGATACAAACTGATTAGGACTAGGTATGAAGACAGCAAACCAAACCAGTACAAAGGAAAGTAGGTAGAAGACAAAGTATTTTGCTAACCTTCCTACAATATTGGCACAGTCCATTAAATTCTGCAGTTAAAAAAAAATCACTTAGTTTCCACTTCTTAATCTTCTATATGTTTTTAGTTTTAGTTTTTTAGTTGAGGTGGATTTTTGTTATGTAACCTAGACTGCCCAAGAACTAGCAATGCTCCAGCCTCAGCCTCTGTAATGCACCAAAGCACCAACACATTGTTATATCTACATTACATAAAATTAATGCTGATAGACAAAAAAGCTAATGTAACAATCTAAAAATCTTGCAAGTAGTTCAGTGATTTAAAAGTAACAAGTAAAAAGCTCTACCAGAATATTTGTGTTTGTGTGTGTTGGTTGTGAAGCCTGAACTCTCGGCCTGGGTGCTGTCCCTCAGCTCTTCAGCTCAAGACTAGTGTTCTACCACTTGAGCCACACCACTTTTTCTGCATACGTGGTGCTGAGGAATCGAACCCAGAGCCTCATGCATGCAAGGCAAGCACTCTACCACTGAGCCATCTTCCCAGCCCATCTCCCAGAATATTTTTTTTTTGAGGGTCCGGTAGTGGGGCCTGAACTCTGGGCCTGGGTGCTGTCCCTCAGCTCTTCAGCTCAAGGCTAGCGCTCTACCACTTGAGTCACAGCGCCACTTCCGGCTTTTTTCTTTTTGCTTATGTGGTGCTGAGGAATCAAACCCAGGGCCTCAGGTATGCAAGGCAAGTGCTCTACCACTGAGCCAACTTCCCAGTCCTCTCCAAGAATATTTTTGTATATACTTTTCTATTGTCACAAATGACAAAATAAAAATGTTACATCTTAAAAAGAAGCTAAAAGCAAAATTCACTTTTCCTTTGAAAACACCATTTCTTAGCTCTTAAATCTAAAGAGAAAAACTTTAATTTTTTTTTGGAGAGTATTTCATAAATAAAAACATCAAGTTTATGTTAGTTATACAATGGATCATGTAGCAATATTTTCAACTTAAAGAGAAAATATACCATTGATTCAAAAAATTTAAAGCTAAAATGTAAATATATTGAAGTAATATGTGTCACACATTAACATATTCCGTCTTTTCTCAGAAATCCATAATTAGGAAAAGTAGGTAGGATAAGGTATCTTTTTCAACTTGTAGTCTGCTAAGCTAAGAAGCACTGGGCCAGCAATTCCTCAGCCTCAGGGAGCCTCACTTTTTTTTTTTTTTTTTTTGGGTCCGGTCGTGGGGTCTGAACTCTGGGCCTGGGTGCTGTCCCTCAGCTCTTCAGCTCAAGGCTAGCGCTCTACCACTTGAGCCACAGCGCCACTTCCGGCTTTTTTCTTTTTGCTTATGTGGTGCTGAGAAATCGAACACAGGGCCTCAGGCATGCAAGGCAAGCGCTCTACCACTGAGCCAACTTCCCAGCCCCAAGCCTCACTTCTTAAGCTTATACTGAACTAATTCCCCTCCTGTATCTTTTTCTCTTACAGCTTTTTGCTTTTGTGACTGATAATCTGAAAATCCTTTCAAGAGTAAAGGTTTGAGGCTGGGAATATAGCTCAGTGGGAGAGTGCTTACCTTGCATGCATGAGGCTTTGGGTTCGATTCCTTAGTACCACATAAACAGAAAAAGCCGGAAATGGCGCTGTGGCTCAAGTGGTATAGAGATGAATAGCTGAGGGACAGCACTTAGGCCCAGCGTTCAGGCTCCACAACCAATTAAAAAAAAGAGAGATAACTAGATGAAAAATATCTTAGGTACACTAAAGTTCTACTTTCTTTTTTTTGCCAGTCATGGGGCCTGAACTCTGGGCCTGGGCGCTGTCCCTCAGCTCTTCAGCTCAAGGCTAGTGCTCTACCACTGGAGCCACAACGCCACTTCCGGCTTTTTCTGTTTATGTGGTGCTGAGGAATCGAACCCAGGGCCTCATGCTTGCAAGACATGCACTCTACCGCTGAGCTACCTTCCCAGCCCCAAGTTCTACTTTCTTTAGACTGCCTCTTTTCCGTGAATCAACTTCATACTAGTTTTGCAATGAAAAAAGTAGCCTTATGGTTATAAAGATCCATTCTTTATTTTGATATTAAAAAAACTGCCTAAATTGTAAAGTGTCACTTTTATACTGTTTTAGAACATGAACAGAATAGGAACATCTGCTACCAACTTCAAGGGTATCACATATACTTCAGGTCATTGATATCAGATATTTTTACTTTTTTGCATTGCTATTGTGAGTCAAAGAGCATAAAAGATAGTAACTAATTATCTCCCTCTCCTGATTTTCCATGATTCTTCTTTTTAAATTGTTTTACTGTTATACAGGTTATGTTCAGAGAGGTTACAATTAGATGTTAGGTATACATTTCTTTTTAGACAATGTTGCCCCTTCCCTGGCTCTCTTAGTTTTTCCCTCCTATCCCCACTGATTTTCTATAATTTTTCAAATTATCACTAAGAAATCCACTGGTTGAGCTGAGTGTCCATGGCTCATGCCTATAATCCTAGCTACTCAGGAGGCTGAGATCTGAAGATCTTGGTTCAAAGCCAGCCCGGGCAGGAAAGTCCCTGAAACTCTTAGCTCCAATAAATCGCCAGAAAACTGGAAGTGGTGCTGTAGCTCAAATGGTAGAGCACTAGCCTTGAGCTGAAGAGCTGAGGGACAGTGCTCAGGCCCAGAGTTCAAGCCCCACGACCGACCAAAAAACAAAAAACAAAAAAAACAAATCCATTGGTTGGCAAGTGATATAATTATGCTAGTGTCTGATAAAGAGAGTATAAAACCAGCCATCTGAGTCAGGTGCCAGTGGCTCACGCCTGTAATCCTAGCTACTTAGGAGGCTGAGATCTGAGGATCCTGGTTCAAAGCTAGTCCAGGCAGGAACATCTGTGAGACTCTTATCTCCAATAAACCACTCAGAAAACTGGAAGTGGTGCTGTGGTAGAGTGTTAGCCTTGAGCTGGAGAGCTGATGGACAGCACCCAGGCCAAGAGTTCAAGCCCTACAACCGACAAAAAACAAAAACAAAACAAAAAAAAGCCATCTGAATACAGCTAAACTAGAAAAATACCTTTTTTCCCCTTCTTTCCTGTTGCTGAAGATTTTTTTTTCTTTATTCTCATTATGGACCATAGACTAGTTATTAACAGTAGGTACTTTTTGGTTATAGCTGTGAAAGTCATTGAATTCTTGAGGTTTGGCATCACTTGGAAAGCAAACTAGAAGATTGTTATGATCTGGATTTGCTTAAACAAGTAACATTTCCATTAAGAGTCCAGTTGATAAACTGGTAACATTGAAATAAGCATGTCTGTGCTTATCAGCAAGTTCAGTCAGTTCACTGGATACCACCCCAGAATCTTCAAGTGGCAAATGTGAACAGAGGTTTCACTGTAGAGTTATGGCCTTGGCTCCATTAGCTATGGTATCTTCTTTCATCTGAATATCTATCAGTCCTTTCCAGCTGTAGCAGCCACTGCGTGGTAAAACTTTGCCACAAAATCTGGTTCACTAACTTCTAGCTGCCGGACAAACTCATTGCGTTCCTCCTCAGCCCAACCTCGAAACCACTGATCCCAGAGACGTAGCTGACATTCAAAGATACAAGGTGGTCGATTTGCCCCAGATACACTAAGCTGCTCCAGACTATCCAGCAGGGGCTGTAATTTTCCTGGCACTGCTTTAGCTACCATGTCCTGTAGAAAACGTTCACGCTGGGGAGCAGACCAAGTGGCAAACCAGTGAAGAATACACTTCATCTCCTGGGAAGTGATATAAGACATTGGAGGAGGGGAGGAGTTGGTAATACTGTCTGGTACTGAGGGTAATGGAGAAGGCAAGGATTGTGGCAGTGAAGAGGAAGATGATTCCAGTGGCATCCTGAAACATAAAATTACTGTTACTTTCTGGATAGTGACCAAAACACATTTTCCTAGCAACAGTTAATCTTATGGCACCCAGTCTGCATCTACAGAAAAAACTACTGTTCAATTCAGTTCATAGGGAAATAGGATTCTATTACTATTATCATTGGTGATACTAGGGTTTCAGTTCAAGGTCTCATATTCCTTTGGCTTGATTACTCATGACTCAAGCTCCATCACTTGAACCACACCTCCAGTCCAATTTTTTTGCTATTTTGTGCCAGTAGTGGGGCTTATTCAGGGCCTGTGCTCTTGCTTAGTTTTTTTTTTTTTTGCTCAGGGCTGATGCTCTACCACTTCAGCCACAACTCCACCTCCCTTCTGCTGATTATTTGGGAGGTGGAGTATTGGGGACTTCTACCTGGGCTGGCTTTGACCACTGGCACCTGGCTTATTATTCGATACTTTTTATTTTGGCAGTATTGGGATTTGAACACATCTTGAGCTTGCTAGGAAGGCACTTTAAATAACTTCGGTCAGTTACACCCCAAACTTTTTTTTTTTGTCAGTTGTGAGGCTTGAACTCTGGTCCTGGACACTGTAGCTCAGCTCTTCAGCTCAAGGCTAGCACTCTTTTTTTTTTTT